CAGCAGGAACACCAAGTGGATACGCGTGGACACATCCTGGACCAGGCTTTTCTGGTGAGAGTAAACACATCGTAGAGTGGCTGGTGGCATCAGCTGGGGGACAGAGGGGAGGACTTGCCCTGTTCTGGTACAACTATCCCCAGCTCACTCTACACCAGAGTGATGTTGGCAAATTGAGTACAGCCATGATGGTGAAGGGAACACACTTTCTATATATATAAAAGACTATATTTTGCTGATTCGTTTTTTTTTTTTTTAATGTTCACCTTGTGAGTCAGGTATTGTCATCCCTATTATATTTTTGCCATCAGGCTGATGGGAAAACTGAGGCTCCAAGAGGTACTGTGCTTTGGCTGAAATTCCACAGCAAGTAAATAGCTGGACCAGGATTAGAACTCCTATCTATAGACTCCTAAGTCTTTACCTTTACATTACATGAGGTAAAAACTGTTCACTGAGTTGGGAAGACAACAGAGCAGGTCAAGGGAAACAGTCCATTGAAAATCCCATCCTAACGCCTGGTAAGATGGAGAAATTCTTGCTCTGCTCTTGGACGATTCCCCCAAGATCAATTGGGGTTGGAGAGGGACCACTCTTTGACAGCCTCTGTGGCTTTGTGTCTGGCTGAAAGCCAGGGAAACTGACCAGAGTTTACCCAGTGCCTGGGTCGGCTTTGAAGGGACTGAGGTAGCTGTACAGGAGACCCACCAAATGATCTCACATCTGTCTTGTGCAGTACCTCCAGTGGCTTTGCCAGGCAAGGCATGTTTATAAATCAATATTAATGCCATTCCAGTTCTTGTAGCTTCCTAAGAACTCTCTGGTAGGCTACTGTGTTCCCAGGTCCTGCTGTGGTTCTCAAGAGATAGATGTCTGCATAGATCAGATAGCAAAAGACTACTCTGTTGGTCTCATCTCACTTTAAGTGGGTAGTATAGGCTTTTTTTTGCAGAGTCCTATGGAATTTGTTTCATGATTATGTCCACTTCTCTTTGGAGGGATTAAAACAACAATGCTGAAGAGAGGCAGCATCACCATGCCTCTCTTCTATGCTTCCATAGTGGTCTTTCCCCCCTTTGTTTCCAAATACATATGCATTCCCATATTTAATCAACACAGCTTGTTTCCCATGTTGCCACTTTGAGTAAGAGAAGAAACAAGAATGTTTCCAAGAGTAATGGGCTATTCAGTCTACCTGTTGGATAGTTCCACTTGAGTGTTACCCTAGCACCTCATATTGAATTATTGTACCAACCCCCCTACTCAAATACCAATACATACCTCTTCTGTATTTACTGTATTGTGTTGGCACTACTGTCTTCCTGGTCACCAAGCCAGGAACTTGGAGTTATCATTGATACTTGCTGCTCCATCACCAGCCCCACCCTCACTTTTACCTAGGCCAGCATTTTTATTAAATAGCTGTCAAATCTGTTTTTTTCGGGGCCAGCAGGTGACATGGTGGTTAGGGGTGCTGGACTCCCGCATGGCTGACCACGGTTCGCGTTCTGGCCCTGGAAGCTTGTTTTCTCTTTCTCTGTCTGTCTCTTTCTCTCTCTGTCCTCTGCAAATTAAAATAAAATAAATGAATAAAGTTAAATAAAAAAATTCTTTAAAAAAAATCTGGTTTCTTCTCATCTTTACAACCACCACCCTATCTGGGCTACTGTCATCTTTGCTGGCCGAACTGAGTAACTTCCCAACTAATTTGAAACAATTACAGTGCTTTTATTTCACATAAGAAGCCAGAGGCATTGTCTAGGTTAGTTTACTGGTTTAATGATCTCTCCCAAGGCCCAGGTTCGTTCCCTCTTTCTGCTCGGCCATCCTCAGCATGCTGACTTGTCCTCTAACACTGATTGCCTTCATGATCCCAAGATAGCTGCAGCAGTTCCAGTCATCAGATATAGAGGATGACATCCAGGATGGAGAAGGGATTGTTACTGTCGTAAGTCTATTTTTAGAAGGAAGAAAAACTAGTTACCTACCCTGAGCTCCAGCAGCCGTTGTCTTGTTGGCTAGATTTATTGGGTCATTGGAAAAGCCATGACATATTTTTCTATGTTTTTCTAAGTAAAAATGTGACATGACTTTTCCGATGACTCAATATATCACATGTCCAAACAGTCATCGGTGAGGCAGGTCTAGACTTATTCCTTGGAGCCAAAGCTTAAGAACATGTCCACTCAGAGAAATCTGAGCAACATCAGTGTTCTTGAACAAGGAAGAAGTAGGAAAGTGGTTATTGGTAATTAAGGATATGCAGTATAAGACATCTTCAGAAAGTCTACAGAAAATGCATATTAAAACTATGTATGGATTTCAAAATTCTTTTTTCTACCCCAAATCACAATTTAAGTCCTATACTGGCAGCTTCAAAAACACCTGGGGACATATCCATGCATGCCCCAAATCCTGACAGGCTAGAGAAAGGGAGCCGAAGGGATCGTGGTATGACCATGTCCGTGAGGGGATGCTTTCCCCATCCCTGTCTGTCTCTCTGGTGAGCACTCGTGCCCTCTGACAGTTCAGATAAAAGTGATCGCATCCGTCAATGCAGCTACGTGGCTTTCCATATGACCATGAGCTCTTTGAAGGGATGGACTGTTTCTGTTTTCTTCATTGCCTTCCCAGTGCCCAGTTCAGTGTCTAAACATGATAGTACCACAAACAAACTATTAATAGAAATAAAAGGGATGAGGTTTGATTCTACATAAATAAAAGCTCCAGAGCGAACTCTTTAATTATTATTTGGGGGTGACATATGGTAGTCAAAAGAGCATGGAATTTAGTGGTTACAGATTTGCATTCAAATCACAGATCCATCAGTTACTAGCCGTGGAACCTTAGGCAAAGCACTTTACCTCTCTTAATCTTATTTTTCCTCATTAAAAAAAGGGGAGATAATTTTTTTTTATGTCAAGGATTTAGTTAGGCTAACAAGAAAGCTTGTTAGTATATACAGAGCATGGCCCTAAATATTTGGTTAATGAGTGAATGAACAAACGAATGAATGAATAAGCAAACAAAGTATGATGAATGTATGAGATTGCCCAACAAGAGCAAAATGAACAAGTAGATGAACTCATTAAGCTTGGTGGGGGCCTCGAGAGCTGACCCTGAACTATGTTCCAGCTGAAGCACCACTGTGTGAGGAATCCTGCAGACCTGTGCAGCATTAACGTGAGCGGCCTGAAGCTCTCCAAGGTGAGGCCAGCCAGCAGATGGGACTGGGGTAAGCCAGCCCTGAGGTGGCACCTGGTGTTCTGGTTTGTCCGTTGCACCTCTGGGGTCTCTGGGGTCACGTGGAAGGAGGAAGGGAGCGTCAGACAGGACTTACTGGGTAGAACCAACATTCAGACACAAACTTTTGCTAAAATTTTGTATTGCCACTTTCTCTTTAAGGTGATAAAGGAAATAATAAAACTGGTTTTGAATCTGCCACAGAACTATGTTGGGGTGTAATTGATTGTGTGACACTGAGTTCTTACCTCAAGAGCCTACAAGAGAAATTTCTCCCAGGTTTCCATGCTGGGAAGGCTAATGGTACACACACATATGTATACAGTACAAGTCCAAAACAGTTATGGGGTGATAATCACCAATTCAAGAGAGTTGTTATGGGACTGGGAGGGGCCCGTGGAGGGGGCTGGACATTGTGGCAGCCAGATCTCAGTAATGTTTTACTTCTTTAAAGAAATTTGAAGCAAAAGCAGCAAGATAACCAGATTTAATAAAATTGGATAGTAGTCACACGAGTCTTCAGAGTATTATTTGCTGTACTTCTCTGTACATTTGAAAGTTTTAGTAATAGAAAAAAAAAAAAAAGAAACAGAAAAGCCCTTACAGTCCTTGATAAGTGACTGCTCCCATGTGAAGCATGTCTCTTGCTCCTAGTCCCTTCAGGTCTTCCTTCACTTTGATGGCAGCTCTGGAGTTTTGGCAAGGCTTCCAGGCAGGGAACTAATCTTGTGTATTTTTCTGAAATGCCTTCCTACAGGCTAAGGAAAAGGACTTCAAGCATTTTAATTCTGTGATTTACATAAATGCCTCAGAAAACCTGCTGCCTCTAGGTAAGTTTTTCCTTCTTGAAAACTGTCATTGGCCTCCTGGTCTGCACAGCCATTCACTTGTGTTAGGACCTGTCTATCCATCTACCCATGATTGGCTATGCATCTCTTTCTCTGGAAGTGCAGTGTGCTAGGTGCTAGGCAGCACACAGGCCTCCACTCCAGCCCTGCGCTGGCATTACCTACTAGAACATTCCTTTGTGAGCTGCTACTTCTCTCTCTATAAATGGGCATAATTCCCTTGCTTTCCTCCTCCCTGTGCAGGGGGTCCTGCAGGCTCAGATGAGATAGGTATAAAAAACGGCCTCAAGCCTATAAATGTTTCCGTAGGAGATAAAGCTAAGTTATTCAGCAAGTCCACAGCGACCCCTGCTGGGGTGTGTGACCACATGACTTTTAGGAAGGAGTCTATACAGTTCCTGCTTTGGTGGGAGACATGGGCTCAGGCACTGATAGTTCAAGCAGGATGTGGTAAAAGCAGAGGTGGAGGGAATCAGGGAATGTCATGCAAGTGTGTAAATGGGACGTCAATTTGACCAGAGTATCAGGAGGAACTTCTGAGCAGAGAAACTCGTCATGTGAGACCAAAAATGAATAGGAACAGCTGCTCAGAAATGGGAGGTAAGAAGGCATTTCAGGCCGAAGGAGTGGGTATGGAACAGTAGTTCCTGGCCTGGGAGACTGAAGAGTGCCTGAGAGAAGTGAGATTAGAGAGGTTGGTAAGACTAGATTGAGTGACTGAATACTGCTGGCCAAATAGCCTTAGAAGACTTTTAAATAGAGAGGCTCAGTGACAGCTGTAAAGAAAGTGAATTATAAGATAAGAAGATGGAGGTCAGGAAATCTGGGAATTGAGGCTTGACCCAGGGTGAGGCCAAAAGGGGATTGACAGAGAGAGGAGTTGATTCAGAAAGAGGTAGAAATTATAGGACATGGTAACTATTGGGGATGTGGGAAAAGGGGGAAATCAAGGAGCTTCTCACTGAGAGCACATTAGGTTAGGGAGGAAATAGGATGAGTTCAGTTTCGCTGCACTGAGTTTGAAGGATGTTTTTAAAGAAGTGTATGGGAACCAGCAGGTGGTATAATGGTCATGCATTGGACTCCCTCACAGTCTACCACAATTTGAGTCCCAGACCCAGTGGCTTAAAACTCATGCCAGGCATGTGTGTGTGTGTGCCCAAAATCCCGAGAGGAGAATGGAAAATGTATAGTGGTGTGGCCACCTCCCTAGGGGGGTGATTTCTCTCTCTCTTTCTTTCTTTCTTGTTTTGGGGAGGGGAGGTTTTTGCTATAGGGCACGTGCGCTCACCAGAAAGACAGAAAGCAAGAAATCACCCCCCAGGGGGGATGACCATGCTGCAACCGCTTCTCCTCTATTTTCCTCTCGGGATCTTGAGCACGCATGCACACGCGTCCGGCATGAGTAAGCCACTGGGTCCAGGACTTGAACCGCAGTCGATTACGTGGGAGTCCAGCAACATAGCCATTACACCAACTGCTGGTCCCTGATTTCTCACTTTCTGCCTCTCTGTCTCTCCAGTGCCCTATAGCAAAGATCTCTCATTTAAAAAAAGGAAAAAAAAAAAAAAAGATGTATTATGAAGCCCTGTCCTGCCTGTCCTGGAGGCAACAGTATGTTCTGCCAGGAGCATGAGCTTGAAATACAAAAGGCAGTAGGCATATGAAAAGATGCTCAACCTCATTAATTATTAAAACAGCATCAAGAGACTACTTTCTGCCTATCAATTATTGGTAAAAATGGAAAGGACTGAGGATAGCTGCTCTGGTATAGATATGGAGACTCTGTGTCCAACTGGTGGGAGTATGTAATTTGGTACAGCATCATGAAAGTAATTTCGCAATGCTTCTTAACATTTTAAATACATTGTCTTTAATCTAACAGTTCCACTTTGAGGAATTCACTCTAAGAAACTCACTAGTACATGGATACTCATTGGACACATCCTGAGATGTGTCTCTTTGTTAGGCTTTCCTGGGCATTCTGACTCACAAGTCTACCATAGGACCCACTGACACCACAGTTCACTTAGGAGGCTCTCAGTAATCTGGCACAGGCTGGCAGTAGCACAGGACCACAGAGTGTCCGTTCAGTGGAGTCCTCACAGAAGTCCAAGTAGCAGTCCATGGACTGCTATCCATCAGCTGTCATCTCATCTGCAAGACAGTGAGACTCATTGGGCAGATGCAGGGGTCATCTCAGGTGCAAGACAGATTCATTGGGTAGATGCAGGCGCTACCCTAGCTTAGAATTCTCATTCCCACAGGAGCCAGCATCCCTTGTAACACTCCATAGGCATACCTTCTAGAGTTCCCGTGAAGGGCATGTCTCATTATAGGAGTTGCCCAAACAGGCAACTACCCCCATCAGGGGTTTATAATCATTTCTAGTTTCTTCTAGTCTAGATGCAATTTTTCAGTCTGGGGTCATTTTTACTACAAGCCTAGTAACACAGTCACCATGCCATTTCTTTCAGGTTACCAGGGGAACAGGGCTAGTAAGTCAGCCCAACATCCAGTTCTCATGCAGAGTGGGAGAAGTTTTTATATCTTTTATTCACAGAGCATAAAGGATAATCATTAAATAAACTAGAATATGTTTATACTGTAGAACATAATTAAGACATTAGGGAGATCTATGTTTTGTCATGGAACAATCTTTGAGTCACACTGTTAAGGAGAAAAAGCAAGTCGCAGTATAGTATATGTAGGATGATTGCAATTTTGTGAAAATCTGGTGTGTGTGTGTGTGTGTGTGTGTGTGTGATCTCAGTATATGTGTATTATGCATGAAACTTTTAGTAGTTAACTCAATGTATTGGGATTAAGGAGGAGGTTTTATTGTGATATTTGACTATTTATGGTGTGCATGATCAACTTTCGGAATCAGAAATAATAATTTTTTGAGAGGTTTTTGCTATAGTACACATGTGCTCACCAAAAAGACAGAGACAGAGAGTGAGAAGTCACCACCCCGGGGGGATGGCCATGCCACAATCCCTTCTCCTCCATTCTCCTCTTGGGATCTTGGGCACGTATGCACATACGCCCAGTGTGAGTTTAAGCCACTGGGTCTGGGACTTGAACTGTGATTAACTACATGGGAGTCCAGTGACATAGCCATTATGCCAACTGCTGGTCCCGGAAATAATATTTTTTAAAATGGGCTTTTCTGTTGCACAAAGATAGGTTTAATTCTTGACTTTTCCACTACCACCAGTCTCGTTTATACAAATCACTTAACCTGACTGAGCCTATTTTCTCAGCCATAGATTAAAAGCAGTAATCCTCATTTTTCAGGGTTGTTAGTGACTTAGAGGCCCTGTGATTTATAAAGCACCTTATACTGTGCCCAGCTAACCCAGTAAATAGTCATTATTAATATTTTTCTTTTGAGTTCTTCTCAAGCTGCAGATTCTCTCTTTTTCCTCCCCACATAGAGGTGTTTCACACATTTCCAGCCTTAAAGGAACTGGAGCTCGCATTTAATGGCATCAAAACAATCTACGTGAAATATGGAGACTTCAAGTTGTTGGAAGTAAGTTGGAGGTAGGGAGTTTTTGGTGCCCACCTGTTCCCTTGAAAGGAGTGAATGTAGAGTTCTCTACAGAGTATAACTGCTGGGATGGGGCTTTCTAGGCCTTTCCAGCTAGACCCTTGCCTCATGGCTGGTCTCCGGGGAGGGTAATGGTTATGGTGATGGTAGTGTTGGAGGGTAGAGGTGCTGATGGTAATGCTGGTAATGGTGGTGGCGGTAGTAGTAACAGTGGTAAAAATAGACCCATGGCCATGGTGCATGATCCTGGAAAATAAATGCCAAAGGTCCTATCCAAGGAAGTCTGTATTGAAAAGTGAGTTAAAGAATATCAAAGGGGGAGAGTTTGAGAGATCTGAATCCAGTAGGGTTGGAGGAGCCATGGAGGGAAGAGGTAGATAATGCAACTGGGATCAGTTGAGCTAAAAACTCTGATTCCAAAGACCCCCCTGGCCTAGTGATCTGGGTTTGTCCCAGCAGGCTGGGCTAGAACAGGCCGTATGGGTTAGTCCATAGGACCAAGATGAACATGAAATATAATAGGGTCTGGGATTCTGGGGCAGACCATTGGCATTTGCATATCCATAGCTGTTCTTCAATCTTCTGATTTGAAAGTATAGAAAACTTTGTTTGTATTCTTGGCTTTCTCCTAAATCAACATTTTCATCCTCACTCATTTTCCATGCATGCATTGTTCAACTTAATTACCTCTTCAAATCTTTTGAAGCCTTGGGGCCACTTTTCACAAAGGAACAAAGATTTTGCCACTACCTCAGTCACTGCACATGTAGAGACTAGAGAACAGAGGTGGAGCTAGGTGTGGGGCTGACACCTGGCCAAGCTCACTCTCACTCACTG